AAATGAAAAAGGACAGCTTGGAGGTTAGAAGCAAGATCAAGTCGGTTAGGTCAGATCTCTTTCACTGTCATAATTTTTTCATGGTTATAGTTTTTTCAAAGGCAATTCCACTGTGTGGAGAACAAACTGTAGGGGTTAAAAGTGAAAGCAAGGACACCAGCGACAAGGCAACTACAATAATCCAGGAGGGAGATGAAAGTGACTTGGATCAGGGCTGGTGGTAGCAATACTGTCAGTGAAATGTGATGAAATTCTGGATAATTTTGAAGACGAAGCCAACAACATTCACTGAAGGCTGGGTGTAAGGTGAGAGAGAATGGGGAAAGCAGAGGATGATTCCTGTGATAAATGGCTTGACCTCCTGGAAGGCTAGAGTTGCCGTCTACTGAGATGAAGTGGTAGAAGTGGGAATCAATTACTAGGTCCTTTCGTCCCTAAGGAGATGGTTATAAGAAGAGGAACGACGAGAGTGTGAGGAAATGGTACTTTAACTGATTCATGCCAATGGCCAATACCATCTGCCATCTGTCTCTGTCAATGGCCCAGTGGCATCCTCTAAAATGGCAACTTCATGAACCTGGAAATGGAAATTCCCAATCACCTATATTTATTATGGATTACTGTCTCATTTATTTAGATCCTACCTGAAAAATATTTTTCTTTTGCTTTTAATGAGTTTCATAAATTTGCTACCTGATGTTCTGTAGCACTTTCCTCTATTTAAAAATTTCTGCTGGGCACAGTGGCTCATGCCTCTAATCCGAGGACGTTGGGAGGCTGAAGCAGGCTGTTTGCTTGAGTCCAGGAGTTTGAGACCAGCCTGGGCAACATGGGGAAACCTCATCCCTACAAAAAATTAGCTGGGTACTTGGGGCATACCTGTAGTCCTGATCAACTACTTAGGAGGCTGAGGAGGGGGATCTCTTGAGCCCAGGAGGCAGAGGTTGCAGTGAGCTGAGATCATACTACTGCACTCCAGCCTGGTCAAGAGTGGAGACCTTGCCTCAGAAAAATGTTTGTTTTTTTTTTCCCCCCCCACTGTTTTCAAGCTTTGAGTACATTCCTTATTTCTACAATCCTTGGATAACATGAATTTATGTGGTCCTAGGCATACCTTTACTTTATTAAACATTTTTTTTTGGCCAGGCAAAGTGGCTCACATCTGTAATCCCAGCACTTTGGGAGGCCAAGGCAGGCAAATCGCTTGAGCCCAGGAGTTTGAGACCAGCTTGGGAAATATGGTTAAATCCTCTCAAATAATACCAAAACAATTAGCTGAGCATGGTGGTATACACCTATAGTCCCAGCTAGTAGGGAGGCTGATGTGGGAGGATCACCTGAGCCCGGGAGGCAGGGGCTGCAGTGAGCTGAGATGACGTCACTGTACTCCAGCCTGGGTGACAGAGTGAGACCCTATCTCAATAAATAAATAAATAAATAAATAAATAAATAAATAAATAAATAAATTTTAAAAATAAATAGAGATGGGGTCTTGCTATGTTGCTCAGGCTGGTCTTGGACTCCTGGCCTCAAGTGATACTCCCACTTCAGCCTCCCAAAGTGCTGAAATTATTGATATGAGCCATGGCACTGAGCCTGTTTCTTATTTTAGGCTTTGACATTATTTCTCAATTTCTATTTACAATCATATCTGATTAACAGTTTGTGTATACTGTATATATTATCTCATTTAATTCTCACAACACCTATGAGGTAGCTAAAACAGAAACCACCCTAATTTTATAGATAAGAAAAAGAGGCTGGGTATGGTGGCTCAAGCCTGTATCCTCAGCTTATTGGGAGGCTGGGGAATATAGGGAGACCCTGTCTCTACAAAAAAGGTAAAAATTAGCTGGCGCATGGTGGCACACACCTGTGGTCCTAGCTACTCAGGACACTGAGATGGGAGGATTGCCCCCTTAAGCCAGAGAGGTCAAGGCTGCAGTGAGCCAAGATACCACCACTATACTCTAGCCTGGGTGGCAGAGGAAGACCCTGTATAAAAAAAAAAAAGAAAGAAAGAAAGAAAGAAAGAAAGAAAGAAAGAGAAAACAGAGAGATATTGAATTGGTGACAAAATCAGAACTCAAATATATCTCTTGACTCAGTATATTTTCTATTGACCACTTTCTTTCTCATTTCTTTCACTGTATTATTTGTCCTTCTCTAGACTCTTTTAGTTTGGTTTTATCCTTAATATTAGATGCAATAACTACTTGCCATTTTCTCTAGGAAGATTTTTAAAAATAAGGACAAGAAAATACCTTGTAATTTTATGATTTATTTCAAATTGTTTTCCTGACAATGTTCAAAATTGTTTTCAGGCTTATTATTTTGTTTAATTTGTTTTAGGAATTGCAGGAAAAGTGGGATTAATGTTTTAATAAAATAGTTTACAATGGCTATTTAGTCTTCTGGTCATTCTCTTGAATACATCAATTATAATTGAATACATCAATTACAATCTAAGTTATTAAGTTAATCTAAGTTATTTCCCTCTAAATTAGCTTACACTTGTATAAAATAAAGTTCATTTCCTATGTTTCTTGCACAACCATGTGAAAATTTCCTGTAGGTCTTCTTTGGCATTAAATTATCTATGATTGCTTATATTACCTCCATAATTATTACTCTGTTGGAATTTCTTTCTTTCTTTTTTTTTTTTAAAGACGAGGTTTCACCATTTTGGTCAGTCAGGTCTTGAACTCCCGCCCTCAGGTGATCCACCCACCTTGGCCTCCAAAGTGCTTGTATTACAGGTGTGAGCCACTACGCTTGGCTGATTGGAATTTCTAAAAAATGTTAATTTCATTGACCAAGGCAAGTGACTTTTTCGGAACAAACATAATGAAATCTAAATACTCTCTGAAAGTCTTTTGACTGTGATAAATAAATATGCAAGTCAAGGGATAAACAGATTTTTCAAAAAGTCTTTCATAAAGTGTCACACCAAAAATTAGCAACAAGAGAATAAAATATCACCATAGTATGGAAGAACAGTTTGTTATGTCAGACAGTGGAATTACAGATAGAAGATAAATAGTACGTGTAAATTGGCTTATTTTGACAGATACAATAAAAATATTTTTTTCTATAAATGATTTGACCAAGTTGGTAGAGACATCTTTAAATTATTATGCCATGCTACTCTTTCTCTTTCTTGTTTCTTTGGAATCCCTCTTCTGATGTGGATCAACTACCTGACTTCCTGGAATTATTCTTAGTGTAGTCTTTTCATTTGTTTTCACACAACTGAACTTTCTCCTTTCTATATTCCAGACTTTCTTGCCTGCCTTACTTCATTCTATTCCCTGTTCTTGGAAGGTCTTTATCTCTTAAAAGTTAAGCTTGTAGTGCTCATTTTGGCAGCACATATGCTAAAAATGGAACGATATGGAGAAGATTAGCATGGCCTCTGTGCAAGGATGACACATAAATACATAAAGCATTCCACATTTTTAAAAATTGAAAAAAAGAAAAAAACCTTCTAAAGCTTGAGATGTGAGATGGTGGTTGGCACCTGTAGTCCCAGCTACTGGGAGGCTGAAGCAGGAGGATCACATAAATTCAGGTGTTCAGGGCTACTATGCACAGTGATGGTGTCTGTGAATAGCCATAGCACTTGGGCCTGGGCAACATAGTAAGGCCACTTCTCTTTAAAAATAAAAAAAAGTTGAGCTTTTAGAAGGCCTTTTTGATTCACCAGCCAAACTGCTCTCTCATTGATTGCACAACACTGAATTATCTTTATTTTTTTATTTTAAAATTTTATTTTAAAAATTGCTGGGCTCCGTGGCTCATGCCTGTAATCCCAGCACTTTGGAATGCCGAGGCAGGCAGATCATCTGAGGTCAGGAGTTTGAGACCAGCCTGACCAATATGGTGAAACCCCATCTCTTAGCAGGACATAATGACACATGCCTGTAATTCCAGCTACTCTAGAGGCTGAGGTGGGAGAATCACTTGAACCCGGGAGGCAGAGGTTGCAGTGAACCGAGATTGTGCCATTGCACTCCAGCCTGGGCAACAAGAGCAAAACTCCGTCTCAAAAAAGAAACCAGAAAAAAACAACTTTATTTTGCCTCTTCTCTCCCTTTCCCTCCTCTCCTCTTCTCTTTTCTTTTTGTAAGACAAGGACTCACTCTGTCTCCCAGGCAGGAGTGCGGTGGCACAATCCCAGCTCACTATAGTCTCCACCTCCTGGAGGCAACCCCACCTCAACCTCCCTAGTAACTAGGACTACAGGTGGATGCCACCACGCCCAGTTAATTTTTATATATTTTGCAGAGACAGGATCTCAGTATGTTGCCCAGACTGGTCTTGGAACTCCTGGGCTCAAATGATTCTCCTGCCTCAGACTCCCAGGCATGAGCCACCTAGCCCAACCTGTATTATCTTTTATGGAATTCTTCGTATCGCCTGCTGGATTGCCAGCTTCTTCTGGACAGCAATTTGTATTCCTAATTCGCTTATCATAGTATCTCAAAGCATTTATTGTTTGATCAAATTAGGGCTGATCAATTAGGAGTTACCCTTCAGATAGATACACTGTCCCCTGACTTCTCCATCCACCGACAGTCCATCTTGTGCCCTTGGCTTTCCCATGCCACTTATACATTCTTTGAAAACATTTGAGTGCGTACCATTTATGTTATTCAAATACAAAACGGGAAAGCGGTAGGCGCACATTCCAGTACTCCGTCAAAGATGAGTTTTGGACGCTAGAGGCAAAATAAAAAATGGGCCTACCATTTAGGGAGGTGTGACGAAGTGGCATCACTATTCCGTTAAAACCTGAAGGCCCATTGGGTCACCTCCATGTTATTCAGGTTTCGGAATTTCGGTCATGTGAGCTAACTTAAAAGGCTTAAGAGTTGTTACCTGCCTACTCGTCATAACCATTTCCCAATTCCTTGAAAACCTCGGGTGCCTCTAGCTGCCCAGACTAGAGCTGCCCGCCCCGCCTCGCCCCGCCCCCGCCCGGCCCCACTGCATGCTGGGAGTCGTAGTCCCGGCTGGCAGCGCCCGGAAGGACGGGAGGGGCGCCGGAATGCAGCCCGCCCACCTGGTACTAGAGGTCACTCTCCCTAACTAATCCCTTGGTTCTCTCGGGTGGAGCCTTCAGCGTGCACAGCGGGATTTGACTTTGCCACCGTCTCTCTTCTGGATTTCAATAAAGTTTTCCTCTTCCTCTCCTCGTACGAAGCTCAAGATGGCGGCCTCCTGGTCGCTCTTGGTTACCCTGCGCCCTTTAGCACAGAGACCCCTGAGAGGGAGATGTGTTGGGTGCGGGGCCTGGGCCGCCGCTCTCGCTCCTTTGGCCACCGCCCCTGGAAAGCCCCTTTGGAAAGGTCAGTGATTGTGCCACGAGTAGGCCGAGCCGACTACACATGAGTGGAGAAGCCTCTGGGGTCACCTTCCCTGTCCAGTCTCCCCCAGGTGCCACCTGCTTTCACGAAGCTAAGGGCTCCTCGAGAGGAGTTGCCATTTCTCGTGACCTTTTATACTGTCTGTGAATGAGCCTTGAGCACTGAGGGAAAGGACGTGAGTGACTTTCATTTTGAGAGTCAGAGGTCGACTCAGAGTTTGTTCCCTCCGGGACGTTTAGAGAGCTGAGCCCAGGTGTGGGAGTGCTTGGCTTGAAGTGATGCAGGTGTGGGGTTGGGGACTGGGGACCCCTACCCTCTGCGTTTCCCAAGCTCTCGGGGCTGGTGACTGACGGGCATTGGAGTAAGAGCCGCTCGTGGGACCTCTCCAGGCCCCGCTGTGTCTCGTGATTCTTGGAAGGAAGGTCCATAAACATTCTCAGATTGAAGGATCGATTGATTCTTGGTGTTCTTTTCAAGTCACTAGAGGCTTCAGTGAGATGTGTTTTGTCACCGGGCTTTCTTCCTTTCTGCATTCCTTCATTCAGTTGTTTTATGTTCATGAATGAATGAAGGTATATTCTGAGTAACCAAGCCAAGGGTGCCAGTTTTACTGCTCAATTCCTATACTCGCGCTGAACTGCACGTTTTTCAAAGGCAAGGACATTGTATCATTATTTCCTAAGCACTTAGCACAATGATTGGTATCTGATGTGCAAATATGATTTTTGAATGAATGAATGAAATTATTCTCATTGTCTCCCTCATCAACATACTTATGTTTTCCTTTTTCTCAAATCCAAGCAACCCCTGTAATATACTTTAATAGATTGATAGACCTTAATAAAGTATATGCCTTAATAAATAGAATCTTATTGATTATTTAAGCTAAAAATATGAGTCTTTGACCCTTATCATCAATGCAGTTGAAATTAATACTAGAACTATGGTTAGGCCACCTTATGTTTTTCTGCAAAGATTAGCATAATGCGCTCAGTATAATGGAATAGGCTCCACATAGGGGGTAGCCCTGATAGGTTGGAGTAGTCGTTAAATAAATAAGGCCACTTGAGGTGGCTCATGCCTGTAATCCCAGCACTTTGGGAGGCTGAGGCAGGCGGATCACAAGGTCAGGAGTTCGAGACCAGCCTGACTAACATGGTGAAACCCCCATCTCTACTAAAAATACAAAAATTAGCTGGTCGTGGTGGTCGTGGTGGTCGTGGTGGCGTGCACCTGTCATGCCAGCTACTCGGGAGGTTGAGGCAGGAGAATTGCTTCAGTCTGTGAGGTGGAGGTTGCAGTGAGCTGAGATTGCACCATTGCACTCCAGCCTGGGTGACAGAGTGAGATGCTCTCTAAATAAGTAAATAAATTTAGGCATAATGGAATATTCTTGTAGTGTAACATGTGGATTACAGCATAAATTTTATTTTTCATTTTTGGTAGTCAATAAGAGCAAATGGTATAAATTTCAACAGGTGCAAGAAAGAATATGGCAAAATGTAAGGCTTTCTTCTGTCCCTATTCCTTAGTTGCTTACTTTTTCTCCTCAGAGGCAATCTCATGTTTTAAGTTTTAAAAATGGTATTCCATTCTATGTTTATACCATGATTTATGAAAATTAATTTCAGATTTAGAGAGCATCATTATAACATATAAAATTCACTGAATGCTTATTCTGTGTCATACAATATGCTAAGTACTTTCTGCATATATTATCTTATTATTCCTCAGTATCCTCATTTTGGAGATCATGAATCCAAGGTTGCTGGAGATATATGGCTAGTAAGTGTCAGAACTTCTGAATTCAAGTAAAGGCTGTGCTACTAATCTATACCCATACTTTCTCCTATACACAAAATTTAGCCAGTCCTGGGTGTGAAGATTTGATGAAAATGCAGTTAGGTTAGAGGTCCATTTAATTGTAACTAAGGATGCTCCCTTGTCTTTTTATTATTTATTTATTTATTTTTTGAGACGGAGTCTCACTGTCTCACTCTGTTGCCCAGCTTGCAGTACAGTGGCATGATCTTGGCTCACTGCACCTCCATCTCCTGGGTTCAAGTAGTTCTCCCTGCCTCAGCCTTTGAAGTAGCTGGGATCACAGGCGCCCGCCACCATTCCTGGCTAATTTTTGTATTTTTAGTAGAGATGGGGTTTCACCATATTAGTCAGGCTGGTCTTGAGCTCCTGATCTTGTGATCCACCCGCCTCGGCCTCCCGAAGTGCTGGAATTACAGGCCTGAGCCACCACACCCTGCCTCCATCTTTAAAAAAAAGAAAAATTTTAGTTGACATTTTGTTCAGTATTTAGAGTCTGATTTACAAATCTATTTTCTGTCCCTTTTCTGATTTTTTTTTGGGGGGTGGGTAATTTATTGTTTACATTTCTATTTTATCTTCATTTTTCATTTTATGAAGTCTGCTGTTTAGTACAATGTAATGTGGCTGTGTGTGGTGGCTCACACATGTAATCCCAGCACTTTGGGAGGCTGAGGTTGGAAGATAACTTGAGTTCAGGAGTTTGAGATCAGCTTGGGCAACATGGCAAAACCACCTCTCTACAAAAAATACAAAACTTAGCCAGGCGTGGTGGTGCACACCTGTAGTCCCAGCTGCTTGGGAGGCTAAGGTGAGAGGGTCATTTGAGCTTGGGAGGTCAAGGCTGTAGTGAACTGAGAGAGATGGCATCACTGCATTCCCAAGCTCAGTGACAGAGTGAGACCATGTCTCAAAAAAAAAAAAAAAGAAGAAGAAGAAGAAGGAGAAAGAAAAGTGAATGAAAACTGAGTTCCAGCTCTTGAATACCCCATAATCTTGAAAGGCAGATGGAATTCTGGAGCCAGCATTTGATGAGCCCTTCTGTGTTCTAGATACTTTGCTAGCAGTTTCTGTTTCATAATTTTGATAAAGACCTATAAACATTGTTGTCTTTATTTTATGTATGAACAAACAGGGATGGTTACCCAACTCATTTTAAACCCAGGCATTTTTGCTTCAGAGTCATAAACTTAACTGCTATTTATACTAGCTTTTTGATGTAACAATGAACATTAATAACATACCATGATATAAGCCTATTTGAAGTATTGTAGACTATAGAAGAGGAAGTAACTCTGCTTGGAGAGAGGAAGATTTTTTATTTTCAGCAAAAGATATGAGCTGTACCTGGCCCTTATTGGTTTATGGTCTCTGATAGAGCAGCTAGAGATGAAGCTGGAAAGGCGGGCTGATCTGGTTGAGAAGAATCCCCTAACACTGTGTGAAGATGTCTAAGCTCAGTGGGACAGTAGTAGTGGATGTTTCTCAGGAATAGAAGTGATCAGATCTGTTTTAGCATGATTGTTCTTGTGGTCACCTGAAAAATCGATCAGAAATGCTTGGATGGGACAATACTGGAAGCTGGGTGATTATTTAGGAGGAAGTTGAAGTAGTTGGAATGTTAGGGAGTAGTTTAGGACCTGAATTACTGCTGTGGTGAAGGAGAGCAGGGCAGTGGAAGAGAGGGAATTCAGACACTTCTCTGATAGAATTAACATACTTGTCCGGGTTTGGTGCCTCATGCCTGTAATCCTAGCACTTTGGGAGGTGGAGATGGGTGGATCACCTGAGGTCAGGAGTTGGAGACCAGCCTGGCCAACATGGTAAATAAAACCCCATCTCTACTAAAAATACAAAAATTAGCTGGGTATGGTAGTGTATGCCTGTAATCCCAGCTACTGGGGAGTCTGAGGCAGGAGAATTGCTAAACCCAGGAGGTGGAGGTTACAGTGAGCCAAGATCATACCATTACACTCCAGCCTGGGCAACTCTGTCTCAAAAACAAAAACAAAAACAAACAAATAAAAGAATTAACATAATTGCGGCAGACAAGGAAAGGGAAGAGTGAAGATAAATTTAGGTTTCCTATTGCAGTTGAAATAATGGCATGATAAGTAAAAAGTAAAACAATGCCGGGCTCGGTGGCTTATGCCTGTAATCCCAGCACTTTGGGAGGCCAAGGCAGGTGGATCACGAAGTCAGGAGTGACCAACATGGTGAAACCCTGTCTCTGCTGAAAGTACAAAAATTAGCTGGGTGTGGTGGCACTTGTAATCCCAGCTACTCAGGAGGCTGAGGCAGGAGAGTCGCTTGAGCCCAGGAGAATTGCTTAAGCCCAGGAGGTTGCCGTGAGCCAAGATTGTGCCACTACACTCCAGCCTGGGGGACAGAGTGAGACTCCATCTCAAAAAAAAAAAAAAAAAATAGTAAAACAATAAAAAAGCAATTTAGGTTTCTGAGTTTGGGCAATTTTTTTTTTTTTGAGACAGAGTTTCACTCTCGTTACCCAGGCTGGAGTGCAATGGCGCGATCTCGGCTCACCGCAACCTCTGCCTCCTGGGTTCAGGCAATTCTCCTGCCTCAGCCTCCCGAGCAGCTGGGACTACAGGCACGTGCCACCATGCCCAGCTAATTTTATATATATATATATATATATATATATATATATATATATATATTTTTTTTTTTTTTTTTTTTTTTTTTTTTAAGTAGAAACGTTGTTTCACCATGTTGACCAGGATGGTCTTGATTTCTTGATCTCGTGATCCACCTGCCTCAGCCTCCCAAAGTGCTGGGATTACAGGCTTGAGCCACTGCACCTGGCCGAGTTTGGGCAATTTAACCAAAAGAAACAAAACAAAATGGTAGGGCCAAAGGATTTTAGAGGGAGATTCACTTTGGGGCTTGGCCTATTTGAGGCATTTATTACAGTTCCAGGTAAGTAAGTCTAGTTAGTTGTAGGACACTTGAGGATCTGAGACTAAGAAAGAAAATATGGGGTATTGGGAGCCATGAGAATAGAAGAATGAGCCTAAGAATATATTTGTAGGTTGAAAAGAGCCTGTGGTTTGTGCTTGTTATCCCAGCTATTCATGAGGCCAAGGCAGGAGGATCGTTGAGGCTAGGAGTTGGAGACAAGCCTAGGCAACATAACAAGACCC